CGGTGGTTGGGTGGTGGGGGGGGGGGGGGGGGGGGGCGGGGTGACACCAAAATGACGGTCAGTCTTTTTGGTGTCACCCTTCTTGTGACGCTACTGCAGATTAATGAACCTACAGTAGACATGAGCCTACAGTAGACATGAGAACATCAGCAGGGCATAGACCACCAGAGCCAGGGGAAGAGAACGTAGGGAATGGTCTAGCAGCCAGGCGGGATCGGATGAGAATATTTTCTTTAATTGCACCCCTAGACCAAAACAAGCACTTAACCCTTGCGGTGTGGTGGTCACACATATGCAACATGCTGGTGCATTTGTAGCTCCATACACTACAATCTAGGAGTGTATGAAAAAACACATGCAACATGCATTTTTGGGCAGTTCAGCACATGACAAGCCCCCTTCCCCTAGCAACCTATAGTTTATTTCACCTTAATTGGCCAAAAACACACAACACGTTAAAAAAGCATTAAAATACATAGTGCTAAAAAAGCAAGTGTAAACTGAGACTTATGTTTTGTTCTTCATATGCTACAAACATTATGTCACAACCTACAAATATAACCCACCTCCAGCAGTCTCTGCGTGTGCTGCAAGTGCTGGGCCGCAGCTGCAATGGCCTTCCTGTTGAGTGCTAGTCGCAAAAAGAACCTTCCTTTTCCCTGTGCAGTTCGAACCTTCGTGCAGGAAACAGTGTTCTGTATCATGACGGACAGGTGTGATACTCTATGAGATAAAAATAGATTTAAAAAAAAAAACGTAATGAGCATACATGTGTAAAAACAGCAGCAATCTCCAAAATGCCTGTCAAGAGGTAAAGGGCAAATTTAATTATCAAAAATGATAAAGTTACATACACAATGAAGCCAAATCTACAGAAAACTGGCATAGACCGACAGAATATGCTCAGACCTATCTAATAAAATGCGCTCCCTACTTCACTCACTGGGCACTGTTAGCATACATCTAGAGGGGTTTTCTCAAATTTGACTGCAAAAGTATAAATGCACCTTAATTGCTGTGTGTTCCCATTCACGAAAAATATTAGAATGAAATAAACAAATAAATGTTTACCCAGCAGGCAACATGGCTGACTCAAGTTTTTCTGAGCACATTCACAGTGATCTGCCTCATAATTCTCCTTTAAGTAGGGTATGCAGTGACAAAATTCACACAGTGCGTGCCTCTGTCGGCACCCTTTCTCCCGGCATCCTTCAATCAGCTGATCAAATGGAGCTTGCAGCCAATCAGCTACAAGCTCCATTAGGGCATTCTGACAGAGGCCGATACAATGAAAAGCAGCAGGGTATTACTCTATCAATGCTCGTTGCTCGTAAGCGTTGGAGGAATCTGTTCTATTTTCTTTGTTCAGCCTGTACCCAGCTTTAGAAATTCAATTTGTAGATTGTGTTCCTGTCATTAACATACAATACAGAAGCCAGACTTTGAATCCTTTAACCCTTGGTTAGGACTGGCAGTGTTCAAATCTACTTTACAAATTATGATAAAATGAGCCAGCACAGTACAGACAGGGTTAAACCCCTTGTGACATCATCGTCACACCCCTTACCCCTCAAAACCCCTCCTATAATTACAAGATAGAAGTAGAAAGGTTAACCCTTAAGTCAAGAAACCCGAACCCAGGTAAAAACAATTTAAACTGCATGAAGTATTATTTTTATTTAGCTTGTTATATAAATGGGAACATGCAACAAATAGAAAACAGGTGCTATGCCAATCTGGCTGCGAAAGTGGAAATACACTTTAAGATGCTATTTGTCTCAACACCAAAATTTGCTCCCTGATGCTGATGAAAAGTTTGCCGGCACAGAGATCTGGGCACTGCGAGATCTCAGTGCAGAAAGTCAGAGCAAAAACAGATTGCGGAGCCAGGATTGTGGTGCAGGAGGATCTGGGTGCAGGAGAAGTGAGCATGCAGTTATGGCTGCATAAGGGAGGGTTACAGAGGAGGTTCAATTAAGCATTGGAGTTGGATTATTGGGGGTGGGGTAAGTGTTAGGGTTGCGGTTACAGGGAGGAGATGCATCATGGTTACAGAGCATTAAAGCAGAGCTCCAGGCAAATAAAATCTTAACCCTTGAAGTGTGGCTACCCCCGCGCTGCAAGGGTTAGGTGCTCGTTTGGTCTAGGGAGCTAAAATAACCTTAAGGGCTAGTTCACACCAGACCCAGTGCGTTCCTGCCCAATTCTGGCTGCAGTGCAATCCCCCCGCACCAGAACACGTGGCGCATCAATGCCTGCGTTCCGGTGCAGTCAGAAAAAATGCTGCATGCCCCATTTTTTCTGACCACACTGGACCGGAACGCAGGCATTGATGTGCCACACATTCCGGTGCAGGCGATCGCACTGCGGCTGGAGGGCGTGGCTGAGGTGCCATGGACTTCATGGCACCGCCACGCCCCCTCCCCAAAACAAAGTGAGGCGGCCGGAATGTGATCCAGTGTGTTCCGCCCAGAACAAACTGAGGGTGGTGTGAACTAGCCCCAACTACGATCCCGACTGTCTTAGACTGGTCCCTTCAGCCTTGCTCCCCCTCCGGTCCAGCGGTCTAAGGTCCTGTGAGTCATCACGTTCTATGCAGTGTATAGAACATGAGGATGCTGAGGGACATTAAAATCACTGCAGCGGAGGAGGAGACAGGCAGGAGGGAGAGGGGGGATTGTTTAATACCTCTTTATTGTTATTTTATCCAATTAAGAGGAATTCCTTTAGAAATGACAGAAAGTAAACACTGTAAAGTGCTGGCTGATGGAACGATCTGGGCTGGGATCTTCTGTCATTTTATCTTCGATATGGCCAACAAATGAATGCAGCACATACATATAGATATAGACACAGACATGATAGAGAGAATACAGATGATGATTAGAGATCATAAGTGATTTTGATTCATTTTCTCAATTTAAAACAAAAAACACACAACAAATGGTCATGTATGGGCTCATTCGTGTCCGTGGTGAAATGCACAATCAGACATCTTTCAGCCATCAGATAACGCATACGTGAGTGCCAAGCTTTATACGCATGCTCCATTACCCACAACCAATGTATACCAACCATGCAGAATTTTGGTTCACACCTGCCACAGGTATCATGCTGAGGAAGATCCTCTATCCAGTGCCAGTAATCTCTTCTCTTTATTCCTAAAACCCCACCTAGAAGAGATAAAGATGTACAGATATAAATGTATTATATATTCCGTATGCATTTGTAGGATTACTAACAAACCAGAAGAACTGAAAACAAAAAACTTCATTAGAAGTATACATTCCTTTTGTCAGTATAGCGGCTTCCACTCAGTTCTTGTATCATGGTCAGTAGAAGAGTCAGTGACATATTTATCATACAATATACTTATCATACAATATGTACCACACAATGTCAGGGTGGAGAGAGTTTCTTTTAATTAATGCATTTTATATCTGGTTGGTTTGTGGGTGCTGTGGGCTCTACAATCCCATGACACAACATAGCAATATTGTATGTAGAGAACATAAATGTGACAATTTGTAAATGTATCAAATGACATTCCCTACATTACTATTTATATGATCCCCATGTGTAATGCTTCTGTCCATGCAGATAGTGTCCCTGGTGGGAACTAAACCCAGGACCTCAGCATTGCAAGATGAGACCACCAATCATACCTACGAGGCCATGACTAATATTATTGGAGAACAGCACAGTCATTGCACAAAGTACAAAAAGTTCATATCTGGAGCTGTAATGAAAATAAAACAGGCCCTGCAGCCAATCAGCTTCTCTCTCTCAAATCTTACCTGAGCAAACTGAAGAGATATGCTGCTTGGTTGCCATGGGCAACTGCTCCAGATTCTGTTTGCTCCAGTTTTTATACATTCCCACCCCTCTGTATATATGGCCTGGGATTAGTGAGGTAAGTAAATATGGAGCCCTAGATTAGGTAGGCAACTCTGGCTCTCCAGCTGTGTTTTAACTACAAAACCCAACATGCCTGGCAAGTCATGCTTGTAACACTCAGTCTTGCAAAGCCTCATGGGACTTTTAGTTCCACAACAGTGGGAGGGCCAAAGTTGCCCATTCCATTACTAAAAAGCCACTGTTGTGGCATCATTATACTGTGGCAGAGGTAACAAAACGAAAGCCGCTCTTTTGGCATGTGAATTAGCCCCCTATATGTGTTGCAACTGTGTATACAACTCATGGAGATCATATGTACAGACTTACAAACAGGAATGTAAGGTTTTAGTAAAAAAAGATAAATCCGAGGTAGACAATATTTTAGGGACATCTTACTCTTAATTCCTTTACGCAGGATCATCTCAATGACATCGCACAGTGAAGTCAGACATGGGGAATCATCATTGATAGGATCAGAACCGGCTGTCTGCAGTTCAAGGACACACGCTGTGATGACAAAAATAAAACTTTTTTTACACCATCTAAAAATGAATTTGCCACTAAAACATACAAGCAGTAGTCTGAAAACTTTTCCATTATTTTTAAGGGACCAGTGCCCCCAAATCTGACATTTCAATAGGGGTTGACTGTGGTGGACCAAATCACCCACTGACTTTTTTTTTTTTATAGATTTCGTTTGGGAATTCCAAAGTGAGACCTCCGGAATTCTTGATGCACTCTCTACGATGTAAAGTAAATTGCAGTGCAGCAATGCCTAAACCGTTTTAGATATAATGGGGAAAGGTTAGAAGTCCTGTCAGGTTTTACTGCTGGCTCTGTTAAGAGAGATTTCCCGTCACTTTCTGTTCTGGGGACAATGTTTGGACAGGAAGTGAGGGAAAGCACATTGCAATTCTTGATGACATGAAAAAGAACAATGCAGAACAAACGTTCACTCATTTTCAGCAAACTGTGTGAAAACAAACCAATATCATGACGCTTCATGTACATGCCTGCCAAAACCATGGATGACAGATTGTTGTGGACCATTCCATGCAGCTGGCTAACCAATCAAGGGCTGGCAAGAAACCGACTTGCCCTCAGTTGGCAGGGCTTGCCAAATTGTATTTTTTAAACTTACCCAATGGGTGCAAATGTGATAGCACTCTTATCTCCTTTCTACAAAAGGGAGCGGTATGGATTTAAACTTTTTTTCTCCCCCGCACAAATCAGATAACTAAAAGGTACTCATACACCTTACGATTATCGTATGCGATCGACTTTTCGTACGACAATCGGAAGGTGTATGGGCAGTGTGCAACCGCCAGTACCGTACAATCGTACGACTTTTGTCTTTCCTGCATGTTCGGAGACTTCATTCGATCGTACGATTTTCGCAAGGTTGGTGGAGTTTCCGGAAGTCAAAAGTCGTACGATTAAAGGTGGCCATACACTGTACAACCATCGCAAGACCTTAGTCTTGCGATGGTTGTAAAGGGATTAAAAAAACGTACGATCTGCCCATCTTGGACAGGCAGATCGCACTCTCGATCATCACAAGCCCGCCCCCCTGAGGGGCAGGCTTCCGATGACCGCAATGCTGAACGGGCAGTGTGCGCGTGCGCACACCGGCCCGTTCAGCATTTGTCTTCCGAGCACCGTTCTAACCAGCCGAGAATCGTACGATTCCCGGCTGGTTTTCGAACATGCTGGTTCGACGGAAGACGTGCGACCGTACAGTAGAAACGGTCGCACGTCTCCGTTCACACTGCTCGATTCTCGTACGATCGCGGGATTTCCCGCGATTCTCGTACGAGAATCGAGCAGTGTATGGGCACCTTAACACTTCTCATGCGCAAACGAAAATACGTGCGGTCGATTACCGCAATTCGTCCAGGTGTTTTTTTTAACTACCGCTGATTGAACCTTGCTATAATCGGGTCAGGATAGGGCCGCCATACGACAATCGTAGGACGGTTCGGTCATCGGACGAAAAGTTTCGTACGATAATCGTAAGGTGTATGGGCACCTTTAGTCAGGTGCTCGAATTTATAGCAGGTGAGGAACCCTGATCACTACTAATCAAACAAAAAAAGCAGACACAAAGGAGGACAAAAGAGACAGACTGGTCAAATGCATTACATTATTGCACAGGTGTTCATGTTCAGTATTTTATGTATAAATAAAGTATATTTAAATAGAATGCATGTTAACATGCCCTCAGGTAAAGCCTCCAGGTAAAAATAAAAAAATGGGTCTAGAGAGGGAAATCTAAGCATGTATGGCTAGCAATTTGCCTGTGAGTTTTCCTGGCCTTTTCCTCAAACATGTCAGGTCCAAGCTGCCGGCAGACACCCATGAGTTTATCTCCCATCTACAATTTGCTGTATCCACTTTCCCACTTATTAAATAAAATGAGTCTTTCTGCTTTACCACTCACACAAGAGAGAGAATATGCTGTGTTTCACAGGGCTTCCTATATTTAGAAAAATATGACTCATGACAAATATGTGACGTACGCCCGGCCCAAACCCGCTGTACTTCAAACCCACGTGACCATACACAAGTCTGAACCGAGCGTAAGCGTCACAAGCACGTGGCCAGGGCCGGCCTTAGGGGTGTGCGAGCTGTGCGGCATGGCAACAAGGGCGTCGTGCGGTCGACTTCTCGCCCCCTCACCGCTGGCCATCCGATATGACAGCGCTCCCTCGTTATTGAGGATTTGGTGTCCTCAATTTCTTTTCTATTTTAAAAGGGAAATGTCAGGGGTCTGTTTGGACCCCTAATATTTCCCAAAGCCCCCCCAACAGTACAAAATAAATACAAAAATTTAAAAAGGATTTTAAAAAAGTGAAAACAGCCCCCCCTCACACACACGTATTATTAGACATGTGCGAAGACTAAAAATTAGTTTCAGATGAAAATGAACGAAAACTAAAAAAGTTGTAATTTTTTCAGTTCTCCCCCGGCCCACACACACACACACCAGTGAAAGTTCTCCCCCAGCCCACACACCAGTGAAAGTTCTCCCCCAACCCACACACCAGTGAAAGTTCTCCCCCAGCCCACACACCAGTGAAAGTTCTCCCCCAGCCCACACACCAGTGAAAGTTCTCCTCCATGCCTGCTCCTCCCCCATACATCTGCCGAGAGCCCACCCTGCTGTCATGTCACACCTCCTTATCCCCCTGTGTACACCAACCTTTCAGCGTGCCCAGCAGCGGCTCTTTTCCTGCCATCCTCCTCCTTCTTCTTACTATAGAGCCGATCACACGTCCTCCCCGCGGCTTACAATGACAACCCAGCGAGCAAACATAAGGCTGCCAACTGAGCGGCAGCCCGGAAGAATAGCG